CGGATCCCACATATGAGGGCTGCTGACACTGCCCTGTGCAGCTAAGATGCTGAGCAGCGGCTCGACCTGGAGCTGGGCTGCCATGAGTCGCCGGCGACAGCGTGTGGGCTGCAGCCCCTGCTGCAGTGGGTTGCTGTTGGCTGCCGTATGTGGCTGGCGGACAATGTGAGTGGCCAGCAGCCGCCATGAGCAGCCGTCCAGAAGCCAGTGACTGATCTGCCTTGACCGGAAAGAGCACAATGATGGTGCCAACTTGGGCCAGTGGAGCAATGTCCTGCACAACTAGACTGGGGAGCAAAATGGACAGCGACTTGTCTGTTCCCCTTCCCCCGATTCCCCAGCGTCGTTCCCAATTCCCCAATAAAAATCTTTAAAAAAACAAAACAGAAAGGCTATAACAAAAGGTGAAGACAGTTAAAACTAGGCTATAAAATCAATTTGGCTAAATACACAAATGAAATCAATAAGGAGTATCTAAATACAGCAGCACATTCTATTAGATGTTAACCAATAACAGTATATGCCAAAAGCTTCCCCAAGAGGAAACAGACTGGAAAGGGTGGGAAGCAGCCAGACCTCACTAGGTCCACGGCTGGAAGTCAGAGCGTCTCCTGATGCCTGCAAGCTGCATACAAGTTCCCAGTGCCAATGCTAGAATGATGACAACTCACCAACAAAAGAATTTTGTACTGTTAACTGAGGTAAGCTCCAATCTCTCATTCCATACAATCCAACCCTGAAAAGCAGTCCTGACACAGTAATCCTGGAAACAGCAATCTCTTGAAAGAGTAATCCAACAGCAATCCCTTATGCCACCTGAGATCCATCTTATATATCTTTTCAGATGCACCCCAGAGCTAAGTTTTTGTTCCTACTTCCCCTCTCAAGGAATAGCCAGTTCCGGGAGGGTTGTTAATGATAAGAATGTTGCCTACCCGGCTGATGAGAACAATATCTACTGTTCTTGCCTGGGACCATTGGCCCAAGGCCTCGAAAGCTTGGCAACATGCCTGTCACGTCATCCTGATATATTGGGCCGTTGGAAAAGGCATGACGCATGTTTGCAACAGATGGCACTAGTTCATTTTTGGAAGTACTAGATTCATTCGTTTCTATGTTATTGCTATGTCAATGACAGCTTACAGTTCTAGCTTTACTCTAAAAAAAAATTGAGCGATTTGGTTGAGATTTGGAGATTTTACAACAAGTTGAAGGTGGAAGACTAAGCTATGCATTTTTGCCGTATTTTACTGTTTTACTTCCATCAAGGGAAGAACGCGTGTCAAGCTTGTGAAAAGTTGCATAAAGTTTATGTGACAATGCTGTACAAGAACGTCAGTGCTAATGATGGTTCACAAAATTCCGTGCTGGTGATTTTGATCTCAGCGACGCTCCTCACTGGGTCAGGGAGGCCCACCGAGGTTGATGATGACAAAATAAAGTCAAACCCACATTACACGACACGAGAGATTGCAGAAACATTGAACATCCATCATTCAACTGTTCTTTCAACCTGAAGAGGCTGGGATACGTAAGCAAGCTCGATATTTGGGCTCCGCATGAACTCAAAGAAGTTCATTTGATGGTGTATATAAACGTCTGCGATATGCTCATTAAACGTGAGGAAAACGATCCTTTTTTGAAGCGACTGATAACTGGTGATGAGAAGTGGATTATTTACAAAAATATGATGTGCAAGCGGTGTAAGCGGTCTTGGTCCCGATGTGATGATTCATCTCAAACAACATCGAAGACGGACATTCATCAGAGAAAGTTTATGCTCTCAGTGTGGTGGGATTTTGAAGGTGTCGTATTTTTCGAGCGCCTACCAAGGAACCAAACAATCAATTCGAATGTGTACTGTCAGCAGCTGGACAGTTTGAACAAATCCTTCATCCAGAAATGCCCAGAGCTTGTTAATTGTAAAGAAGTTGTGTTCCATCGCGACAACATGAGACCACACAAAAGTTTGATCACCCGTCAAAAATTATTGGAGTTTGGATGTGTCGCCATACCCACCATACTCGGATGACCTTGCGCCATCAGACTTCCACTTGTTTCGCTCTCTTCAAAACTCCTTGCATGGTACAACATTCAATTCAGATGAGGCTGTGAATCAGCACCTTGTTCCGTTTTTTTGCAAATAAAGACAGGTCCTTCTATGAATGAGGAATTATGAAGCTCACTGAAAGATGGCAAAAGGTTATCAAACAAAACAGGCAATATATCATTGATTGATCTTTGTTCTTTATATAAATAAATGACCTTCGAAAAGCATAGACTAAATACATCATGATTTTTCCAATGACCCAATAATTTAGCTACTTCTTCACTTCATCCGCTGATGCAGGCGAAACAGACAGAAAGCAACATTTTCTCATACCTCTCCTGCCGGGAATGAGACAAATGGGGGAATCTTCTCAACCCCTGACTAAGAATTCTCTTAACCCTAAGCTAGCCATAAACTCAAAACATCTCACATGCAGTCTCTCATGTGAGGGAACAAAGGACAGACAGGCAAAACCTAAGCATCACCTCACATGCAGTAACAGACAAAAGCCAATAGACAAAAGTTAACACTAGTCAATGAAGGCAAATTTTCTTAACATCTTTCCCACATGCTGCAAGAGGTGACACTGCACTGGGACTCCAGGCCTCTACCCTATATCCTGCCCCAGCTTGGATTACCCACCACCAGTGTGTCCACAGCTCTGTATCTTTTCCCCAGTTAGACCAAATGTGATACAGACACCTCCATTCTGGAGTCCCATGCTGAAGGAAGTATGCCTTCTCTGTCTCCTTGATGTCCATCCTTTCACCCAGGCCTCCTGCTGAATTTCACTAGCATCTCTTCTCTTCACCTGTGTTCAATATTCTCCCTCCTACCTAAGTCCACTTTCTATCTCTTGCAGGCTGTGCTGTGAGAACTAATTCAAAAATTAAAAACATAGGCATGTGTATGAGGATATTATTTGTAGCAGTAATTTTCAACTGAGGTGGGTGTGGGGTAGGAAGAGAGGGGTTTTGCCAAAGAAATTATATTTGGCAACCTCTGGAGACAAGTTTGGTTATCACAACTGCGGGGTGCTACTGACATCTAGTGGGCATACGTGAGGCTGCTGTGTAAACATCCTCGATGCACAGGACAGCTTCCCACAACAAATTACCCAGCCCAAATATCAGTGGTGCTAAGGCTAAGAAACTCTGACTTACAGTCATCTCCTGAAAGAGTTCTTGAAAATGAGTGTTTATTTCTGAAACACTATCTTGAGGGGTACCTACCTATTCCTTAAGTTTCAGTTTTCCAAGCCGAAAATTTTAGATCAGTTGCCATATGTCACTATTTCCCTTTTTCTCTAGTTGCTGTTTTACATGTTAACAGGAAGAAATTCAAAAGACAATACACTACTGATTTTACCAAGAATCCACCTAATCCAACAGTCTGTGAAAAAAGGATTGATATTCATATTCCATCTAGTAATTTCAGCCTGTTCAACACTCACTCAACAAATCTTTGTTTCTTGTCAATCCTGAAAACGTATATTCCTTTAAAATTTTTATAGATGGCTTTTGTCTTTCTGAATTTGAATTTCTAAACATATAAGTAGAAAAGCTAGTTTTTTTCCCCTTCGATTTTCCCCATTGATTACTTGTTATCCATTTTCACCCTAATAAGCAAAGATTATCTCTTGGCCCAGATACAGCTGAGAGAGGGGAAGGGAAAGAAGTAGGAACAAGGAAGGAAACACATGATCAAGGCACTGGGAATTTTTTCAAATATTGAAGCTCTATTAAATTTTTCTACATCCTTGGTAAGGAGGAAATTCTGGGCTTAGTTTTCTACTTGAACCATTCAGTACATTCTCTAAAACGTGGCTTCCTACTTAAGATAAATATTACAATAGCCTAGGGGCCACCATACACATTGCCTCTCTGACCTCACGACTCTCAACTTTTCCCTGCTTTCTCCACTCCAACCACACCATCTGTCAAGTCAACTCCTACCTCCAGGCCTTTACAGCTGTTTCCCTTGTCTGGTGCACACTCCCGTAGCCCCCATATCCACTCCTTCACCCCCTTCAGATCTTTGCTGAATTGCCACTTTCTAGGTGAAACCTTCCGTCGCTCACATATTTATAATAGCAAAACACCTTGTGCTCCAGCCCTCTCTATGCCTTTTCTGCATAGCATCATCTGACATACAATTTTCATTCTTTATCTCACACACTAGAAATTAACTCCACGAAAGTAGATCCTTTGTCTAAGTCAGTGCTATTATTAACAGGGCCTGAACAATGTATGGCTCCTAGCAGTAGCTCAATAAAACTTGTTGACTGAATGAATAATTTAAGTCCAAGTAGACAAAAATTTTAGCGTATGGATATCTGGCATTTTCTGCCTAGATTCCCAATACCACTCCCATCTTTATTGGGACCTTATCACAGAAAGGTCAATTGGCAAGGACACGGAAAGCGAATACTCTTATACAATTGTGAGTAGGGGTGTATAAACCTCTTTACAAAGCTATTAGGCAGTATCTACTAAAATTTTAAATTTATATACATTTTGACCAAGAATTTCTCTAAATTTACCTAATGGAAATAATGGCACTGGTGCACATCAGTACAGTGTTGTTTATTGAATCAAGATTGGAAGCAGGTACTTCGGTTTAATTTATGATGAACAAAGCTGGAAAGAGTATCACTGCCACCCTTACAACAAAAATAACGCTGAACAATCTCCTGTCATTTTATTAAAAAAAAAAAAAAAAGTTAATCCAGAGGCACGCGGATTCAGGGAGACCAACGTCCAGAGGCCTAGATGCTAATTCAACTCTCAACGACCTTGCGTTTAGCAAACGTCCCCCGCGCGGCCCCTAAATCCAGACGCGGGTGGTGTCTCCACTCATTCCTTCCAGAAGTTTCCGTTTCCTGGAACTGGACTCCGCCTAGCCCACGATCAGATTTACTTTCCAGTTTCCTTTTCCCGCTCCAGTCCAGCCTTTAACAAAGACAACCGCTCTCACACCGACCTAACGCAGCAGACGCGCCCGGTGGGAAGCGCGCGCCCGCAAGCCCTGCGCACACCCGCGCCCGCGCACACGCACACGCACGTTCCCGCTCACACGGCCACGCGCTCCCCGCCGCTCCGCTGCCCGCGACTCCTACCCTGCGGAGAAAGCCTGTGGGGTCTTGCCTTCTTCCTGGAAGGTCTTCGGAGCCCAGCCACCATGAGGTAAGGGCTTTCCCCGCATCTCCACCCACACGGTGTAGGCCTTTGTTTCAAACTGGTGTTTTTCTTTTATTCCTTTAGCCAACGCAGCGCTGCCGCTCTTTATTAAGAGGCCGAGCTCCCGGTGCCCGGCAGCCAGGCGACGGGCTTCGGACGCTCCAGGTTCCGGGCGTCTGAAATCGGGCCTATCCAGGAGGGGGTCTGAGCGGACGCTTCCCTGGAGTCGCGACCCTCCCTGGCATCCGCAGTTGGGACTGTCGGGCCGTGTGGCCAGGCGACGAGCCCAGGGAGACTTGTCCTGTCGCCGCGGCCGCCGTGGTGACTGCGCTCGCTTCGCGGCCGCCCCCAGCGTCATTCCGCGCTGCTCCTACGTGGCACTGGCCTCCTCAGGCCCACCGCCTTTCTCTCCTTTCCAAGCCCTGCAGCTGCCGTTCCCTCATTTTGGCAGACGTGGTTTGGCCGTAGCTGCAGGCGGCCCATTTGTCTCCTGCCATTTTGCCTTTTTGATTTCTGGATCTGAGTTCTGCCCTTCCTGTGAGGTACCTTTGAACCGCGTACAGATTTTTATTGTTCCACCCAATCCGCTATTTAATCAGGATTTCTTTATCTGTCTTCTTTACTAGTGTATGGTGACGGTGGCCTGTCCTCACCCTTTTTTGTATCCGCAGGGGCTAGCTAGCACCCTGCCTGTATGTGTTTAGTGAACCATTCGCATTTAGTAAGTGGAGGAATAAGAAGTTAAGGTCTTGGGCTCCTGAAGCCGATCATCCTTTGTTCTACTAGTTGGGTGACCCAAAGCAGTTTCTGAAACTCGGTGTGTCTGTTCTTACAGTAAAAATTGATGGCATCCATCTCTTAGAACTTTGGAAAGGGTTAATTGACTGCTTAGCACATAATATTTGCAAGGGTTGACTATTATTAGAAGCAAAAAATAATTTAAGTCTCTGACTTCTAACATTTGTGAGAAGGGAGGGAGGTATTAGGAAGGGCCTGAAGAAACAAAGAGGAAAGGTGGGGGGGTGCATTATGTGTGTAGATGCAGAATAGGGTGGAAGAAGGATGGACCTCCTAGGGGATTGTCTCCCAAGGACATTGAAAGACTGCTAATTCCTAGGGGGAAAATTTTTTACTTAAACATAAATGTTTTGGGGCCGGCTGAGTGGCTCAGTTGGTTAAGAGCATGAGCTCTGAGCAACAGGGCCGCCGGTTCTATTCCCACATGGGCCCATGACGCCGCTCCCGAGCTGAGCTGCCGATGGGCGGTGGAATGGCTCTGCTGGTTAGAGCGCGTGCTCCTAACAACAAGGTTGCTGGTTCAGCTCCAGCTGCCCATAGGCAGCCGGATGGCGACTGGACTTGGAGCTGAGCTCGCTGCGCCCTCCACAACTAAGACTGGACAACAACTCGGCTGTTCCCCTCCCCCAATTCCCCAACAATGTTCCTCTTCCCCAATTACCCAATAACATCTTAGGAAAAAAACTGAAACATAAATGTTGCCTCTTCAGACATAATAGCCTCTCTGCCAGCTTCCCAGAGACAAGGTTAAAAACTTAAATAGACAAAGTTTAAAAAGTAAAACTTCTCATGGCCTTCCAGTTGTGTGTAAATTTCACGGCATCTGAGCAAAGCACTTCAGTCGCTGACTGACTGTCCCTTTGAGATCTCACAACCACATTCATAGTACCCAAGGCAGCCCCCCTCATCGTTTTTTGGGCTGGGCTGGTAGAAATCTTCAGAACAGAGGCCAATGTTTCTTTTACGCTGTGGATGAGCCGAGTTGCTGGTAAGCCCATATTGTTGTGGATCTGTGCAGGCTGTTAAGGGCATGGGAATTCTTGCCCATGAGTTTGGTGCGGTTATAACCAGAGAAAGAAACAAAGACCAAGAGACAGTCATATCAGGTTTCCCAGCAAGGACCATAAGAAAGAGTTCAAAACCTATTTTCAAAATCCAAACATGGAGATAGAGATAGAGCATGTCAAAATATAAAGACAAGTTGGATAGGGAAGATTTGAAGTGGGAAAAAGTTTGGAGCCATTAGCAGAAAGCGAAGAACTAGCAGGAATTCCTTCATCTGAAATTCAGGTGCTTTTTATGATAGGCATATCTAGGGTAAGCTACTAGTATGTAACTGCCTTCATTCATTCAACAAATATTTATTTATTGAGCTTCTATTATATACCTGGAATAGTAGATGCTAGGGACACAGGTGAAAAAATAAAATCAGAACAAGGCCTCTGTTCTCATGGGGCTTACATTATTTTTTTTAATTTTTATTTTTTTATTTTTGGGGGGCTTACATTTAAATGGGGGGAAATAGACAAACAATAGATAAGTGAGTAAATAATCAACATAATTCAGAAAGTGATAAGAGCTATAAGGAAAATAAAATAGTGTAATGGCCTAAGAGAGTGACCTAGAATGGAGGGGTATATTTTAGATAGCTCTGCCACAGGCAGCCTCTTAAATAAGGAATATTTGAGCTGAGTTATACTAAAGAGCTAGTCATTCAAAGATTAGGACCAGAGCATTCCAAGTGGAGTAGAAACAACAGGTGTAAAAGTCCTCAAACTTGATAAGTTCAAGACAGGAAGAAGGTCGGTATGTCTAAAACCGTGAATGAGAATAGTAGTAGAAAGTTGGATGGGTAGACAAGGCCCACTTCTTTTGGGAGTTGTAGGACATAGCAGGGGCTAGATTAATACCTAAGGGTGTTGGGAAGCCATTGAAAGATTTTAAGTCAGAAGACTACCATAATCTGGTTTACATTTTCAGAAGTTTACTAGTACTATGTGGGAACCAAAAGTGGAAGCAGGGAGACCAGATTTTGCCCCACCTCAAAGGAAAGAAAATTGTGGTTTAGACTAGGAAAATAGCAGTAGAAATATGGAAAAAGTGGATGGATTTGAGATATATTAAATCTCAATTAATCCTGGTAGAATTAACAGGATTTGGGTGAAGGGTTGAGAGATAAGGAATCAAAGATTGTTCCTCCTATACTTGGCCTGTGGAACTAAGAGATGCCATATAAGGTGGGGAAGACTGAGGGGGGAACAGACGTAAGGGATTCAGGTTTCTGTGTTGGAAATGTTCATTTGAGATGCCAAATGAACTTCTTATTGAAGATGCATGTGAACTAAAAATTAGATAAGTCTGGAATTCAGGGGAAAGATCAGAGATAGAGGAAATACTTTGGAAGGTCATTCGTGTATACAACAGAAAGTGCTTATTAATTGGATTGTGGGGAAAAGTATTTTAATTCACTTATCTTAATGATAATTATATCTTTGAAAACTAAGATTGTTACACTTCCTTCAGATCACTTTTAACATAGTTTTACCCCAGTTCTTTTGTTGTTTGAGAGAATCACTAATCACCCTTAAATGAATAGATCTCTCTGCCAATCTCTATCAGAAGCACTCTGCACAGCACTTCCTGGTGAGGAGTAGCTCCATCTCAAAACGACTCCAACAAAGTAGAATATTTGTGACTTTAGATTGAGGACTCATATTTGAAACCATTGTTTTCTTAACATGAGACCTTCAAATATCTGGTGTGTCTTTTCCAATGGTCAGTTACACAAACCTCTTATCTGCTCTTTAAGTTGCTCTAAAATCCCTTTCTGTGTTCTTGTTAGGTCTTCCTGAGGCAAAGTGAACTTTACATACATTAGATATATCCTATGTTTTAAAACAAATTATTCTAGAAAACAAGCTTCAATTTTTATTTTAGAGGTAGTGTAGTATTATGGTTGAAAGACCTAAGCTTTTGAGTCAGGCAGAACTAGGTTTGGATCTTGGCCCAGCCTCTTTATAGCTGTGTAACCTTAGACATTTAATTTAAACTCTCTGTCTGCCAGTCCTCATCCATAAAATTGTGAAAATAATAAGAGGTTGTTATAAAAATTAAATGTAATTTATATAAAGTGCTTGGTACACTGCCTAGCATGTAGTAAACTATCAGTGAATGGTAGCTTTAGGTACTTATGTTTTTTTGAGAGCTCTGATTCTAGATAGTATATTATAAGCAGTGCGCATTTATACTATTGTGTTGGATCTGCAGTGAACCCAGGTCATATGCATAAAGTTTTTTTTTTCAAATATATCCTTGTTTGCCATTTAATTTACCTTGAATAAAATAGCAAAAATTTCAAGTTAAAGGAGAGTTCTAACCTGTTGGGCTTGAGGCCTTTTTATTAATTAAGCTCTATAGACTCACTGTCTCTAATTGCCCCATGCAGTGTCCACTAGTCCTGTGTGACTATTTAAGTTAATTAAAGTAAATAAAACTAAAAATTCACCTCCATTGTACTGGCTACATTTCAAGTGATTAGTGGCCATATGTGGCTAGTGTCTACCATAGTGTACAGCACAGATAAGACCATTTCATCATGACAGGAAATTCTATTGGAAAACTCGCCTAGAATCTACAATCACTAAAATGTGGGACCTGTATATATATGTATATCTTATACACAAACAGAGAAAGAAAATAAATATGAAAAAATTATAAAATTGAAATTAATAATAAGCGAATTTAAGTCTACTAAATACAATACTAAGTCAACTACTAATGTTTACATTTAGTATTTATAAAAAATGAAAAACAAAGGGCTGGCCGAGTGGCTCAGTTGGTTAAGAGCTCACTCAAGAGTGAGAGCTTTGTGCAACAGTGGTTCGATTCCTGGCCTGAGCTGAGCTGCCAAGGCTCAGCTTAAAAAAAAAAAAAATTCATGAAGTATATTAGATTGTAAATATGAAATGGTTTTATTTTCCTAATCACTACTACTAAGTGTACAATTAATCCAGTTCTTTAACTTTTCCATCACTTTGAGCTGTTAGGACAGCTCCTTTTCCAGTTCCAAAAGACTCAGTCCAATTCAGTTTAAAACTTCAATTTCATGTTTGGTTCAAAGCGCTCTTCTTCTCCTTCCTAACTCCCAGCAAATACTGATATAAGTGCTATGAAGAACAGGAAAATGTGATAGACTAGACTTTAGGATGATTGGTAAGGTGGGGGTGCAGCTTTAGCTAAGGTGTTCAGGCCTCTTCAGAGATTTGAGATTTGAATCAAGACCAGAATTACAAGAATAAGTCCTAGAACTCTCTTAGGAAGAGTACAGAGTAAGGGAATAAAAAGCAGGTGCAAATGCCCTGAGGTAGGTGCATACTTGGCATAAGAAATAATAAACAATGAAGTTTTTTTTAAAGGCCAGTATGGCTGGAGTGCAGTGCATGAGAGGAAATTGGTACAAAATGAGGCTAGAGAAGTAGATATGGGCCAGATGATGAAGGGCATAACAACCACAGTTAGGGATTTGGGGCCGGAGGTAAAGATTTAAGTATTAACAATGAAAAGCTTCACTTCCGCTTTATACTCCATTTTTCTTGCAATTATTCTCCCCTCTCTCCCATAAGCATCATTTCCCTAAATACTGGATATTTCCCATTGACATATCACTAAGTCATTAAAAATATCATGATTAAATTTTTTTACAATTCCTTCAGCCTCCCTCCAGCCGTAGCTCTACTTGTCTACTCCCTTCATAGTAAAATTCCTTACAAGAGTGGCCTATATTCCCTGTATCCAATTCATCACCTCCCATTATCCCCTCAACCCACTCCAGTAATGTTTTCATCCCTACCATTCTATTAAAACATTTATCAACGTCCCGCACAACTTTACTCCTGCCAAAACAGTGATCTCTTCTCTGTCCTCATTTTCTCAACATCTTAGAATCATTTTATACGTTGAATATTCATCTCTCTGTTTTGAAATAAACATTTTCTTCCTTAGACTTTCATGACAACAGGTTTCTTTGTTTTCCTGCACCCTCTCTGATTATTCTTTCTTGGCCTTCTTTCCTGGTCCTTCTACTCTGACTTGGAGTGAATTACAACTTAGTTTTTGACCTTCTCTGTCTATGCTCACTCCTTAGGTAATTTCATTCTGGATCTCATGGTTTAAAGTTCATCTGCATGCTGACTTCCAATTTTATATCCTTTGTTCTAATTTCACTCCTCCTCATCTCCAGAATTTTCTTCATTAATATTCAACTATATGCTTGATATCTTCACTTGAATGTCTAATAGACACCTCAGTTAACATTTCCAAATAGCTCTCTTGATTTACCCACTTAGTTCCTGAAGTCAAAAGCATAGGAATCATCTTTGATTTCCTCTTTCCTTCATGGCCCTCCCCATACCCACTTCCATCAGAAAGACCTGTCAGCCCTACCTCCAAAATATAACCATCCAGTTCTCACTAATCCTCTACTACAACCCGAGTGTTAAACTTGCATCATTTCTCCTTGGAGTCCTTCAGCAGTTGCCTTCATGTCTCTTTCAGGGAGATTTGCTCTTGCCGTGCTATGTAAGCTTTAACTACCTCCCAAGACACTTTGCTAGCCTCGCATTTCACTCTCCTACTTTTTTTTTTCTCCTTAACACTTATTATCATCTCACATACTCTATATTTTCATTATTTTTTTGTCTTTTAATGTCATGCCCACCCCCTGTTAGAATGTAAGCTACATGAAGTAGGATTTTTTCTTTCTGTTTTGTTCACTTCTGTATCCCCAATACTTAGAACAGTGTCCTGTATATAGTAGGCTCTCAATAAATATTTGTTGAATGAATAGTTCCCCCACCAGTTTCCCAACTTCCTCTCTTGACCCTCTATGGTCCATTCTCCACAGAGCAGCTAGAGGAATTTTTTTTTTTAAAACCTGGATCAAATATTTTCATTTCTCTACTTAGAATTTTTTCTCCAGTGGCTTCCCATTGCAATTAGAGTAAAATTGATATCCCTTGTCATAGCCTACCAAACCCTGCATCGCCTGCTCCGTCCTACTACTACCCCTCATCTCCTGCTACTCTCCTTTTTGTTTATGCTTCAGCCACACTTCCTTCTGTCCCTTGAACATTCCAGATTTGTTCCCACATCAGGGCCTTTGTACTTGCTGGTACCTGAGCCCAAATGAGGGTTTCTAACCTCAGCATTATTGACATTTTGGGCTAGATCATTCTTGGTTGTTGGGGCTGACCTGTGTATTATAGGATATTTAGCAGCCACCCTCGCATCGATCCTGTAGATGCCAGTAGTCATCACTCCTGTGGTGACAATCAAAATTGTCTCCACACATTACCAAATGTCCCCTGGGGGGAGGGCAAAATCACCCTGGTTCAGAAGCACTGGCTTAGACTATTCTGCCCTCAAATCTTCTATGCGTCCTTTTCATTGAGGAGCTTTGACTTCAATTGCCCTTTCACAAGAGCTATTTCTTGACAATCATAACTAAAGTACCCCCCACTCCTACTACCACTTAATCCCATTACTCTGATTTTCTTTCCTTCTTAACACTATTACTGTCCGGAATTATGTTGTTCATTGATTTGCATATATGCTTATTTTCTGTCAACACCTTTTGTTTCTTTCTCTCCCAGAATGGGATTACCATGAAGAAAGGGCCTTCTTCTATCTTGTTCACTACTATATCCTCTACAACTAGAGTATTGCCTGGCATGTATGATGTGGGGTGATCAATAAATGTTCATTGATAGAAATATTACTGTAGTTCCCATAAACATTTATGTAAATATGTATTTTCATTGTACATAAAAGGGGGGTGGTCCTGTGTGCAGCTTAAATGGAAATACATGCACACCACACTGTACACGGTTTATCCCATAATTAGAGCATTTACCTCTTTGAGAGAAACCCTAAATAATTTTTTTGTACATTTCTTGTGGACTTTAATTATGACCAGTAGTAAATTTAGGAAGTCTTTTCTGACTGCCTAAGCACCACCATCACCAAACAAATAAAACTAGGTATATTAATCAGGACTTTTATCAGTTGTAGACAGTAGAAGGTTACACTGTGCCTCACACAAAGGGCCTCAATAAGTATTTCTTGTGGTGAAGTGAATAGTAGGGGCAATGAATGATAAGTTAGTAGACGTCAGCCTTTATTACCCACAACCCCAGCGGTCAGAAGGATGTGGCACTTACATCAAAACCTAGTAAGCTTCCTTTTGGCTTTTTCCCATCTTTATCAAATGTTTGTTACTCCCTTTTTATTGCTCTCAAACTTACCTTTCTCCCAGTCTCTTGGTATACCTGTTCCTGTCTGTGTCTGTGCCTGTTATCTCTGTAGGCTTTCCTTCCTTCCTCCTTCCTTCTCTCTCTTCCCCCTTCCTTCCTTTCTTCCTTTCCCTGCAACAATGATATATTCATGTGGTTTCTCTGTCTCCCTATAATGTGCTTCCTTTTCTCATTTCTCACCTCTTTTTCTCTGCCTTACTACTCATAATACAGAAATGAAAATTTGTATTTATTTATTTATTTATTTTAGCTGAGCCATCCTGCTACCTGTTGGAAGCTTAACAGCAGCTCAGCTCAGGCCAGGAATCAAACCGGCGACCCTGTTGCTCAGAGCTCGCACTCTTGAGCGAGCTCTTAACAAACTGAGCCGGCCCTGTATATATTTATTCTTAATTTTCAAGTCTAGTAAATAAAACATCTAAATTGCCCCTTTCTAAAAATAGGTGGTCCTTGTGGGTTTGTGACTGCCAAAAGGAAATAGGTACCCTGTAACATAGAAAACGCTATCATCTCCAGAATTGGTTTTGCAATAAATAATGACAGTTTCATGAAATATTTCTAGGACATAACTGTATGCAGGAAACTAGTATAAAGTTACAGGGCCCTATACTTTATAAGATCAAATAAAAGATAAAATGGGTTGTTAAGCAAAGAAAGGTATTTAAGGTTTAAAAATTGTTTCCTGTATTTCTTCAAAAATTAAAAAGGATTTTATCTTTGACAGTGAGATTCCTAAGGACTCCTTGAAGGCCTTTCTGTTGGAGTTAGAATGTCACTTTACCTGGAATTTACTTAAGGAAGACATTGATCTGTTTGATGTGGAAGATACAATTGGACAACAGCTTGAATTTCTTACCACAAAATCCAGACTCACTCTTTATAACTTACTGGCCTATGTGAAACACCTAAAAGGCCAAAATAAAGATGCCCTGGAGTGCTTGGAACAAGCAGAAGAAATAATCCAGCGGGAACATTCAGACAAAGAGGAAGTACGAAGTCTGGTCACTTGGGGAAACTACGCCTGGGTGTATTATCACATGGACCAGCTTACAGACGCTCAGAAGTATATAGACAAGGTAGGGAATGTCTGCAAGAAATTGTCCAGTCCTTTTAACTACAAGTTGGAGTGTCCTGAGATTGACTGTGAGAAAGGGTGGGCACTCTTGAAATTTGGAGGAAAGTATTACCAAAAGGCTAAAGCAGCTTTTGAGAAAGCTCTGGAAGTGGAACCTGACAATCCAGAATTTAACATCGGCTATGCTATCACAGTGTATCGGCTGGATGATTCTGACAGAGAAGGTTCTATAAAGAGCTTCTCTCTGGGTCCTCTGAGGAAGGCTGTTACCCTGAACCCAGACAACACCTACATTAAGGTTTTCCTGGCACTGAAGCTTCAAGATGTACATGCAGAAGCTGAAGGGGAAAAATATATTGAAGAAATCCTGGACCAGATATCATCCCAACCTTATGTCCTTCGTTATGCAGCCAAATTCTACAGGAGAAAAAATTCTTGGGACAAAGCTCTTGAGCTTTTGAAAAAGGCCTTGGAGGTGACACCGACCTCTTCTTTCCTGCATCACCAAATGGGCCTTTGCTATAGGGCACAAATGATCCAAATCAAGAAGGCCACGCGCAACAGACCTAAAGGAAAAGATAAACTGAAAGTTGATGGGCTGATTACATCTGCTATATTTCATTTCAAGGCGGCTGTGGAACGAGACTCGATGTTTGCGTTTGCCTACACGGATCTGGCCAACATGTATGCTGAGGCAGGCCAGTATAGCAATGCTGAAGACATTTTCCAGAAAGCCCTTCGTCTGGAGAATATAACTGATGATCACAAACATCAGATCCACTACCACTATGGCCGCTTTCAGGAATTTCACCGTAAATCAGAAAGTACTGCCATCCACCATTACTTAGAAGCCTTAAAGGTCAAAGACAGGTCATCCCTACGTACCAAATTGACAAGTGCTCTAAAGAAATTGGCTACCAAGAGACTTGGTCACAATGCTTCAGATGTGCAGAGTTTAAGTGCCCTAGGGTTTGTTTACAAGCTGGAGGGAGAAAAGAGGCAAGCTGCTGAGTACTATGAGAGGGCCCAAAAGATAGATCCAGAAAATGCGGAATTCCTTACTGCTCTCTGTGAGCTTCGACTTTCCATTTAACTACATACTCTAGGAAATGAGTTCTAAAGCTCTTCTCTCTATTTTGGGTTCTTATATTTTTGTTTATTGTTTTAATCCATTGTTCATTACAGAGCCAGTTTTTATTGAATGGTTATTGTGTACCAGGCATCATTTAAATACTTTATATACATTATGATGAATCATTTACTGTTTTCTACTTTTTTTAATTAAAATACTAGAATCCATTAAGAAACAGCAACATTCCAGCTGTACGTAACTTTTAAAAATGGCATGGCCATTATGACTTTATATCCCTTATCTCTGCTATTTATAATAGTTTTCTGGTTAAGTTTTGTCAAATTTTCCATATTACTTATGCAGTGAGTATAATCCTACATAAGCCTTTGACACCTAGGTCAGGAACACTCTTTCAGGGGTACAAAATTATGTTAGTTAAGCTCTTACATAATTACGTAGCTTGCAAAAGATTGAACTTTCCAGTTATAGGTGTTCTGACTTAGATGAGGATATTTAACTATCAACCAGATAGTCACCTAAAAAATCCTCTTCGTTGGAAGAAAAAAGTTCATAATAAAAAGTTTGTCATCTTTGATGACTTCAATAAAAGAAAAAACTAGAACATGAGGAAAAAAGGTTTCCTCAAATACAGAACTTCAGCAACCCATGAGAAATCAGAAGTATTAACTCCCAAAATGTTCGTTAAGTAGCTAGAAATAGTTATGAGAAAAAAATAATAGAAAATAATTAGTCTCAAGTTTCTCTGGTTCTTTTAACTAGAAGAATAAACCTAAACTGAATCTAGGTGGAAGTAATTTTATTTTTTCCAGTTAGAATTGCCGTATTTTTAGGTTAAAATCATTGAGATGGAAAGCAGACCACTTGAGAAATTGGGAAAAATGATAAGCAAACGGGTATAGTAGATGTCTGTAGAATACCAAGATTTCAGTGATTTAGTTTTGGGTCTGGACTGGGTAGAGTTCTTATACCCCCAATTTCTGGCCTTTGGTTAACTGTTTTAGTATTCCAACTTACTTCTGTGAAGCTTTTTCCTTTGTCTGAAGTTTTCAGATTGACATGTTTTCCTATAGATCCTCCAGGAATAGTTAGGCCCTGCTTTCAGTTCTTATACCTAATTTAAAGGGTCACTGCTTAAGGGCTCTTATTCCAGGAGACTTTTTAAATTGGGATGTTGCTGAAAGTGGCTTCTTTAATGTTTCTTTGATTATAGACTACACAATTGTATTTACCACCACAGTATTAATGGGAGAGTGTCATGTGATTTAGTTCTCTATACCTCTGTAGCTCTTAAAACTAATGTGTTTGTGTGTTTTGTTTTTGTTTTTGTTTTTTACTTTTTGCTATTTTTATTTTTTAAATTTGTATTATGGTTTTGATTATGTAAAAGTAGTGAGTTCTCATTGTAAAATTTCAAATAATGCGGAAGTATATGAATTTAAAAGTAAGAGCACTCCCCTCATCCTGCCCCAATTCTGCACCCCCAAGGTAAACTGTTAACAATTTGATATGTATCCTTCCAGATATTTTTTTTCTAAGCATATTCATACAAACATAGATACTGCAATGTATTTCATGAATTAAATTTTTTTAAATGTTGTTTTACTTAAGTCCCCACTGTTTTTGTTTATTTTGCTCATTTTATTTGTTTATTCAAAAAGAGAGAACAGGGAAGGGAGTGACTTTACTGAAATATTTTAGAAGCTTAGGACTGGAAGTCCTGACCCATTAGTAGAAGATTTGTCACATTTTGCAGCAAATATTTTGCAGCAGGTCATTTTCTCTCATTGGAAATAATGTAATCAAGGTTATGTTCCCAGGTAGGCATTGACATGCAATGAAATAGTTAAGGTATCAAAACAAAGATATAACTATAAGCTTCTATATTTAAATATTAGACTTTAAGGTCTATTAAATAACTTTAAAATTTAGTAGATATTAAAACATTGAAATGTATAAGAAGTTACAACAGGCTAAGAAAGCATAAAATCAGCATAAGAAAAAATACAACTGAAATATTAAACTAAAATTACTGTTTATAATAACTTTAAATTTTGTCTATAATTATACTTGCTTTCCTAAAATTCATATCTATTTAGAAATAATTTCATACTCTTGGGTTTAAAAACAACCTCAGAGTTGACCGTTATCAGCCATCAAAATTTACCCAAATTTTGATGGCTTGAATTATCTTCCTAAACAATAATTTCATCTTCAGAGAGCCCTTATTAGAAATTTATTCCTTCCATTTAACTGAAGACATAGAGCCTGAAGTTTACATATTTTGGTCTGTCTTTCGGGACCTCAAAGATCTATTCTTTTTTAGACAAACCAAAAATATGCCCAGGGAAGTGGTTGTAATTGCCCCTCAGGGCCATGTGACCCTTTAGGAAGAGAGAAGCGCCTCTTTCCCGAATCTTCAGGGCGCTCTTGGAAACTCCTGTTCAGTAAAGCTCTGCCACCAGCGTCCCAAAAGCTGAGAAAAACCCTTTCAACAGGTGAATCAGCGGGCAGTCATGGAGCTCGTAAACACATTTTCTGTCTTCTCTGGGTGCAGAACTAGTCTCAGCAGCTGATCACGTGCTATCTGCCAGAGTTTCAAGGACAATATAGGCAGTCACTGTTCCTTTCTAGATTGAGTCCATACAAGTTATTTCAAGAAAAACTGCATAAAACCACAGAACTTTAGAACCCTGCCTGCTCCAACCACCTTGATTGATAAGAAAGTTGGGACCCAGATTGCTGATGTGACTTAAGATTTCACAACACTGGCATCCATCATTGCATTTGAACTGAGGCCATGCTTCCCAGCATGTCAGAGATACCAACTCAGGTCCTGACCTAGGAAAGGCAGAACTCCTCTGACAGGTGACTTAGGCTCAAGGATTCCCCACCAGCCTTGCCAAATTTTCCTTAAAACTTTACTGTAGTCTAAGATGCTTCCACCCAACTTTTCTACCTTCTCTCCCGCACTTGGAGTCAGATCTGCATGACAGTCCAGCGGCTCCCCCAGCCTCTCCCTGCTCCCTTCCACTTTCTCTCACGGGTGTTACCCTAATAAATTTATTGTATTAAATCCTATCTTGTATCTGTTTTGGAGGTCAAATTAACTCACCTGGTGAAATAAATGTAATTAGATGATTAATTGGCTGTAGGGCAAATTATCTTTACATACTATAAATGCCATTTATTGTTTTTCAACTTTTGGATCAGTAATTATGGTTAAAGAACAGAAGATAAATCTTTCCAACCTTGATAATATTTAGTGTTTGATTTGGAAAAGAGAAGGGGGAAAGAGGTTAAGGGAAGGGTAAAGACCAAAAAAAAAACCTCATCTTACAAAAAGGGAAGTTAACCGATATAGTTAAAACTTGATGAAATAAGAAAGTTTTGAGTGTTACTGAAATAATAAAATCAGCTGATAAGGTAAAAATTGAAACATAAAAGCAAAAAAAATAATGGGAGGAATTGGAATAGGAGGATTTCTTTAAATTCAATAATTAATCCTCACTTAACATAGCAGAAAATAAAGTGTACATTAAATAGATAAAGAAATAGCATTATAAGTACACCATAGGCACCCATTGCAGGCTGAGATAGCCCCCTCCCCAAAACCTGACTACTTCCTCTCCCTCCCTACTTCTCTTCCAGGACCACAGTGTGTCAATCCTCTCATTCTCTTCTTAGCCAAGGTTCTCTGGTTCACGGAGATGTGGTTTCTTCTCCCTAGCTTCCTCTTTTACTGTAATCAAGCCACCCACATGCAGCTCATCGCCTGCCCCAAACAAAACTCCCACCTTCTCTGGCAGTTTCAGAGATAAATTTGTTCATTAAGTATTTTGTTGTACTTTAAGTGAATTTTAAAAAAGCTAATTACTAGAAACATGAACAGAAATGCCATGTATATATTCCCATGTCTGCTCTATATCTCTTTCATGACAGCATGTAGGCAGAGTGAGCAACAAAGGAATGAAGGTGAGATGTGTAAGTTTGGGAAAGCCATACCACATGGGAGCACATGGGTGCCTCATAGATAAACTGCAGGACAAGCATGGATTGATGTCACTTGCTTGGATTGAACACTGAAGACACTGAACACACTGGCCTTTCCTGTCCTTCAGAAAAAGCCATTCCTAAGCTTCCATTCCTATGTCAGAGGGTAAAAGGGGATGAGGGTAAAGAAAGTGAGAGATGAATGAACACTTAAGCGTTCAGAAGTGAGCTTATAGCAGGTTCCCCCAAATACGTGTCTCTAATTTACTGCCAGATTGAAGCAAAGTTTTAAGAAAGAATACTAATTAGTTCAGCCACTTCTGTAAACTAGTGACACATGAATAATGGTAGCTAACTCTTACATAGTGTATTAAATGTACCGGGGGCCGGCCGGGTGGCTCAGTGGGCTAAGAGCAAGCTTAGCAACAGGGTTGCCAGTTCAATTCCCACATAAGCCAGTGAGCTGCGCCTAAGCTGAGCTGCTGATGAGCTGCCAACAAGTGGCAGGATGGCTCAGCTGGTGAGAGCACGTGCTCCTAACAACAAGGTTGCCAGTTGTACTCCAGTATGGGATGGTGGGCTGCGCCCATCCACAACTAAAGTTGAACACTGTACCTTGAGCTGAGCTGTCCTGAGCTGATGATGGGCAGCCCGATGGTGACTGGACTTGGAGCTGAGCTAGCTGTGCCCTCCACAACTAAGACTGAAGGACAACAACTTGGCTATTCCCCTGCCCCAATTCCTCAACACTGTTCCCCTTCCCCAATTCCCCAATTAAAAAAAAAAATCTTAAAAAAAAAAATGTACCGGGCGCTGTACCAAGTGCATTACATGTATTAAACTTATAAAATCCTCACAAAATCCCTATAGATGAGTATTTTTATTATTTCCTTTGCATATAAGTAAACTGGAATTTAGAGAGATTAAGACACATTGCTAATAAGCGGTAGAAAAGTGATTTAAACCCTGGAGTCTGGTGCTAAAATCTAGCATTTAACCACTATACAATGTTTTCTTTTTTTATTACATTTATTGGGGTGACATTAGTAAAATTGTATAGTTTCCAAGTGTACACTTTTATAACACATCATCTATATATTGCATTGTGTGCTCACCACCCAGAGTCAGTCCTCCTTCCATCACCATATATTTGATCCCTTTGTCAACTCTTCTACCTCCCTGCTCACCCTTACCCTCTGAGAGCCACTAAACTATTGCCTGTGTCTGAGTTTTTGTTTGTCTTGTTCCTTTGTTGCTTTCATTTTTATATCCCACATATGAGAAAAGTCATATCATTCTTATCTTTTCTGTCTATTTCACTTAGCATAATAATCTCAAGATCCATCCATGTCGCAGTATTTCATCTTTTCTTATGGTCAAGTAGTCCATTGTGTATATATATATCACATCTTCTTTATCCAATCATCTATTGAAGGACACTTTGGTGGTTTCCATATCTTGGCCATTGTAAATAATGCTGCAGTGAACATCAGGGTATATATATCTTTACGGATGATGCTCAGGAGAGGGATTCTAGGTGATATGATAATTCTATTCTTAATTTTTTGAGGAACCTCCATACTGGTTTCTATAGTGGCTGCACCAATTTTCATTCCCACCAGCAGTGTATGAGGATCCTTTTACTCCACAGCCTTTCCAACACTTGTTATTATTATGTTTAAGTGTATAGTACCCTATTTTGTGTAGGGGTTTCCATTTCCTGTTTTTGTCTGCCTGTTAGTAAATGTTGCTCTTGGTTTTGTATTCTTTTGATTTTTTGGTTTCAGGTCGAATGGCTTCCTTCAGTATTTCCTGTAATGCAGGTCATGTGTTAGAAAATTCCCTCAGCTTCTGTATGTCTGGAAAGGTCTTTATTCCTCCTTCATATCTAAAGGATAACTTTGCTGGATATATTATTCTTGTCTGGTAATTTCGCTCTTTCAATAGTTTGAATATTTGATTCCACTCCCTCCTGGCTTGTAGAGTTTCTGCTGAAAAATCTGATGATAATCTAATGGACTTTCCTTTATAGGTTACCATCTTCTTTTCCCTGGCTGCCTTGAGAATTCTTTCTTTGTCATTAAATTTTGACAGCTTCAATATAATGTGCCTTGCAGAAGGCCTGTGGGGATTGAGGTAATTCGGTGTTCTGTTTGCTTCTTGGATTTGAGGATCCAGTTCTTTCTATAGGTTTGGGAAGTTCTTGTCGACTGTTTGTTTGAATAGACTCTCTGTTCCCTTCTTCCTCTCTTCTCCTGGTATGCCCATTATTCTTATATTGCTCTTTCTGGTGGAGTCAGAAAGTTCTTGTAGAGTTCCTTCATTTCTTTTAACTCTCAGCTCTCTTCTTCCATCTGTGTCTTTTCCAGATTTCTATCTTCGATGTCACTGGTTCTTTCCTCCGCCTGGTCAGCTCTATTTCCTAAGCTGGCTATATCATTCTTCATCTCTTTTATTGAGTTCTTCATCTCTAGAATTTCTCTTTGGTTCTTTTTAAAATTTTCAATCGCTTTGGTAAAATATTCATTTTGTTCATTGATTTTATTTCTGAGTTCATTAAACTGCCTATCTGAGTTTTCTTGCATCTCATTAAGATTTTTCAGAACTGCAGTCTTGAATTCTCTGTCATTTAAGCCACATATTTCCATGTCTTTAAGTTCATTTTCTGAAGATTTTTCATTTCTTTTTGAGCTGTCTTGTTACCTTGGTTATTCATGGTAACTAATGAATTATCATTTCTCTTCCTGGGTATCTACAGGAGTTGATTCTGCAGCAGGTTGATAGGAAGAGGTCTTTCTTTTGCTTTCCAGTAGGTATTGCTGGAGTGTTTTATTTTCTCTTGCATTGTTCCAGCTTCTGGCATCATGGGAGGTGTCCCTGGAGGTGGGCATCTCCTCTGTGATCAGGTTGCCTGGATCTCAGAGTACCGCCCCGGTGGGAGAATGTGCTGAGCAATGGGTTTCTGAGCCTCTGAAACCCCAATGCTACCCCTGCAGCCTTATGCGGAGCTTGTGTGTCTCAGCAGCCCAGGTTGTCCCTGCGGGGATCAGCCTGGAAGGTGGGGTCAGGGTGGGCTGGGAGAGGCGGCAGGTGTGTTTGTGGCTCCGAGCAGTAGTGACTTGCAGTCCACATGTGTCTCACCTGTACAGCTTCTTCCCTGTCACCAGAATTAGCCGTACTGCGTCTGCCATCCCGGGACTGTCTCTCCCATTCTCAAGGCTGTAGATATTCTGTTCTTTAATCTGACACTGCTACCGTTTCTTTGGGAGCCCGCTTCTAACACTGGGAGGGTGGGGGAGACGAGCTCTGGGAGGGTGGGAGAAGGCAGCCAGGCTCCATGTCCTTGTTTCCTGCCTGGCAGTGAAGGCCTAAACTGCAGTTCTCACCCTTCTGTATTCTTTGGTCTTTGCCCTGAGGTCTCTGCCCTGATCGCTGGGGTATTATATGCTGATCACTCAAGCAGCATTGTGGGCCACAGGGAGTGTGCCTATGGTCCTCTCCTGGGACCACAGTGAGCTCCGGGCTGCTGCATCCTGTGGCCCATGGCCTGTGTCTCTGCATTTCTCGCTTCCCTCCTCCCTTGCTCACCTGGTTTGCCCACCTTCCTGTTTCGATGCACACATCTCTCAGTGCTTGTGTGTTACGTAGGGTATCCTTTGTTTTTCAATTTGTTGTAACTTCCAGGGAAGATTTCAAGGAGCACCCCTCACACTCCTAAGTTTCTAATGTCACTCCTCAGTATTTTTCTAAACAGTCTTAAAATTTGGAATGAAGGATATGGAAAGATAGGACCAATCTTTATAGAGACTGTAGGGCAGCGGTTCTCAACCAGTGGGTCGCGACCCCTTTGGGGATCAAACAATCCTTTCACAGGGGTCGCCTAAAACCATCGGAAAACAAAAAGATATTTACATTATGATTCATAACAGTAGCAAAATTACAGTTATAGAGTAGCAACGAAAATAATTTTATGGTTGGGGGTCACCACAACATGAGGAACTGTATTAAGGGGTTGCGGCATTAGGAAGGTTGAGAACCGCTGCTGTAGGGGAATACTACAAAGGATCACACTGAGCTCAGACATCCTACAATCAGAGGGTACCCAATGCTGTTTTACATAGAGTCCCAAAACTCACTGGAAGAAATTATGTAAGAAGCCCGGCCGAGTGGCTCAGTTGGTTAAGAGTTGGCTTAAGAGCGTGAGCTCTGAGCAACAGGGCTGGCAGTTCGATTCCCACATGGGCCAGTGAGGCTACACCCGAGCTGAGCTGTCGCTGATCTGCCAACAGGTGGCAGGATGGCTCAGCTGGTGTAACAACAAGATTGCCTGTTCAATGGTGGGTTACGTCCACCCGCAACTAAGACTGAACTCGGCTTGACTTGAGCTGAGCTGCTGCCAGGATGGCTCAGTGGATAGAGCGTGTGCTCTAAAGAACAAGGCTGCTGGTTCGACTCCTGCATGGGATGGTGGCTACGCCCACCCACAACTAAGATTGAACACAGCACCTTGAGCTGAGTGGCCATGAGCTGCCCACGGG